AGCTTTGACCCACGCCAGCCCCATTACTTGGCAGGATATTTCCTTCCCCCCCGTGGCCTTTCTTGCAGAGCGCCCTCGGTCACACACAAGGTGGGTCCTGGATTACCAGTCAAAGTCTCCATGTCCTTCCCAAAACACCCAGCCCTGTCCCTTGTGCTCCCCCCGAGGCATTTCTGTGGGGCACAGGGGGGAAACCACCCTGTCCCCAGGTGCTCTGGGTGCGGGCAGACCCTCCAGTCCCTCCCCCAGCTCCCCACAGCCCGGCACCCGTGCCACAGCCATAGGCCAGAGAAGCCTCCACCAGGCTCTTTGGAGATTAGTGTTTATTTTTTTATAGTTGCCGCATAAAGCCTAGCCTTAAAAACTACCTGATAGTGTCCTTCCCTTCACAGGAGAATTCACTCTGCAGCGAGGGAGCCCGGGGGTGGGGATGGGTTTGGGAAAATGGGGATGGGGAGGAAGGAGAGGTGGCCACAGCCCTGCCTGCTGCCGGCAGCAGCTCATCCCCCTCTGCTCCCCACCCTGACTTTCTGGTAATCGAGAGGCAGGAGAGGAGCAGGAGGTGTGGTGGGCACCGTGCCTGGTGCCAGCCCCCGTTCCCACGCCGAGGGCACTTGCATGTCCCCACGCTCAGCTCCTCAGTCCCTCCCCGTCCCCCCGGCGTGTCCAGCCTGGCCAGAGAGCTGCCCCCCATGGATCTGGGGGTGGGGGGGATGCCACGGGAGTACAGGTCCAGTAGAAAGGTGTAAATAGAGATTCCCTTCCAGCCTGCTCTCCTCTAGGACAGTCCCATTCGTTCCCTTGTGGCTCTAGGATTCAGTTTACCTAATTTATTGGATGGGTGCTACTCTCTTGTTGACTCACACCGAGGAGTTTCTCTGAGCTGCCGGGGAGCCGCGTTGCAGGACGACACGGAGCAGCTCTGGTGAATCCCTGAGGAGCCCCCGTGGCCGGCTCACCCGGGGCTCCTCTCTCAGCCGTTATCCCCCATTCTTTAGGATGTTCATGGTGCTTATTAGACTCCCAGTGATTGTACCACGTCACCCCTGTACCGCGATGGTAGCTGCAAACAGCCGCTGTGCTGGAGAGTGTCATGTTCGCTGTTCCAATAAAGGACTTTTATGAGCGAAGGGCAGAGCTCCCCAGAGCATCTCTGTGCCAACACAGCCCCAGTTCCTGGCTCCAGTTCCCATCTCGTCCCCCCTGGGGCAGCTCACCACGTCCCTGCACTGTCCCTGCTGGGAGGCAGCAGCAGAGAATGGACAGAACTCGGTTCATGGGAGGGAGGGGAGGACAGGAGCCCTCTGGAACCAACCCTCTCCCTGGTGACATGGCCAGCGAGGCAGCAGCACCCTGGGGGTAGCAGGGATGGAAGTTTTCCACCCCACAACCAGGAGATGCCCCAGGAGGGAGACAGATCGTTGCAAACCCTGTGTTACACCTGCAGGGATCTTGGGGACCTAACCCAGGCACAGCCATGAACCCCAAACCCAGCAGCTCCACATAATGGGGAGTCACAGGATGGTTTGGGTTGGAAGGGACCTTAAAGATCATCTAGATCCAACCCCCCTGCATGGGCAGGGACACCTCCCACCAGACCAGGTTGCTCCAAGCCCCATCCAGCCTGCCCTTCAACACTGCCAGGGATGGGGCATCTGCAGCTATCAGCAGAAACCTTTGGGGGTGAGGGATGATCCTGGGTGCCAGGGAGCTGGGATGTAAGGAAGGAGGGACGGCAGCCAGTGTGAGGGAGGGGTCACCTATGTTGGACAAACAACCCCAACACCAGATCCTGCTCAGAGACCCATCCAGGACAAGAGATGGTGGCAAGGACCAGGTGGTGGAGATAAAATTACCTAACTGAGATGTCAATGTTGTGAGGGTCACTTCACATGGGGAAGAGCCCAGCATCACCGTGGTGCAGTGCTGGTGGCATGAAGATCCCTTTGAGGGGGGGAAGGGGTGTGTTTTTCTTCCAGAAATAGGGGCAAACACTACGGGATGAGTGGTGTTGGTGCCATTTCTGCAGGAAAGGCAAGGCAAGGTCTTCAGGGGCCTGAGAAGGTCTCACTGTTGGGGTATGAGCAGCTGCTCTATGTTTCCTCAGAGTCCCTCAGGAGAGGTTTCCAGTGAGAGGCCTCTGAGCTCATCACGGGCTCGAGTCCAGAGCTGAAGAGAGCACCTCTAATGCGTTGCATTAAGTGCATCTGTGTCTGGGAACAACGTGCTTTCCAGAGAGGGCACATGCCCAGGAGACCAGAGATGCAGGAACCTGCACCCTCCCTGCAGCATGCCCGAAGTCATGCACGGGGGGAGGGCAGGAAGGAGCCACAGGACACCAGCCACCCAAGGACAGGTGCCACAGGTGAGGGCAGGACCCCTCCCCAGCTGCACCCCCAGCTGCAGCATCCACGAGGATGCAGTGCTGGAGCCCTCAGGCTGCCCAAACCCACCCTAAGGCAGCTCTGGGAGCATTTTGCCCAGCTGCCATCGCCACCAGGGGTTGGAGAGACATCAAACACCTGCTGTGGGCACCTGCTGCCCAGCACCTCCTGGCGAGGAAACCACGCCCAGGCTCCCACCTGGGCAGCGATCTGCCCCGTGAAGAAAAACCAGGAAGGTGGGGCACATTCCCTTTTAACTCAAGTGCAGTTTGGGCTGGTTCCTGCTCTAACCCTTTGCCAGGACCAGCCTGGAGCTTCTCGCTGCTGCGTCCCAGCCAAGGTGCCCGTCGGGGTGGCAGGTGTGGCCGGGCCGGCCCTTGGCTTCGTCTTCTTCTTCATCCGCAGCGGGTCAGCCTCGCAGGAGGAAGAGGAAGAGGTGTCGGAGTCCCAGCCCGGCTCTCCCGGCCCTCCGGAGGAGCGGGAGGCAGGGACAGGCACCGGGAAGCGGCTGGGAAGGGCCCGGGACGCACCGGGAAGGATCCCACGCCATTTCCAGAGGGATTGCGGAGCGGGAGAAGTGAGGAGGCGATGGGGGGAGGGG